GGTAATAAAGTAATACCGGTATGGCTGTCTTTGAACGTTGTTAAGAGCTGAGTATATTATTATTTTAGAAAATGACGGCACATAATATTCCGCAGGAAGTGAAGTACGCTATTGAAATGCCAATGCGTCTCGAGCCTTTAATTATGCAAGCGCAAGCCTTAAAAGTTATCGTCAAAACTGAAAGACATGCAAACTCCCTTAACAAGTTTCCCCCGGAATGTTCTTAGCTACCAAACGAGACGCCACATTTATGAGGACACTACTTGCGTCTAGACGTTTTAAATTGATCGAGATTAAACAAAATGTAAAGAATTGTTTTAAATGAACCGAAGGGGAAAATTCAACAACACACACATGTGTCACCTTTATTCAAGTAAACAAACAAGATTAAATATTAATAAAATAACACTCAATAACTCCGAAGTGCTGAATACTGCAGTGCAGACAAGTACAATGTGATAAGAGAATGTGGGCGCGGGACACGATATTGCTCTCAGACGAAGCGACAGGCAACGAGAAGTTGTCACAAAGGTGCACGTAGTTTAACGCCAGAGTAATTCATTCAAAGCTTTGTTCTACAACAATTAGACTTGCTTTATCAGTAGCTGCCACATTATTTGCTAATCTACGACACAATTACTTGTTGACAGCTTAGATGTTTTATTTTCATGTTGTTTATTGAAGTTTAGCTTATGTGAAACATTTTTGTTAACAACTGTTATTCTAATCAATTGCACACTCTACAAAAGAGTATGTAAATGTGTAACCGATTAAACGAAAGTTATGATAATTAAATAACCAACATCAATAAAGATAATTACAATGAAAAAGCCAATTTAAATTGTAGAGAAAACCGATTGTAATAGTGTAGTGCTAGGTCACGTAAAACACACGCGCGTCCCGCGCTTGACACGAGTTTAATTGCCTCACCGAACGCGTAACAACAAATGTTACGGCCGCGACGTTACAAAATAACAATTTCCTACACTGCTGTTAAATTAAAACTGTCTTTTACAACTGACATTCCAATTTACTATATCAGAATATGAACTCTGGTTCTATTGGTACGTTCACAAAAAAAAAGTTGCATGTCTTTCAGGTCATGTCAGATGCGTGATAAGTTCATTAATGAGAGGGATGTAATAAAAAGAACATGTGCATGTAACTTGAAAATAAACGGTGAGTATATGAGAGTAATTACCTTGTAAACCCATCTCGTTATCTGAATGGTACGTTTCCACAAACACGGTCTCTAAGGAAGTAGAAGCCGTAATTACATTTCTCAAAAGAGGGTTCTTGACACAATTGCGTCGGTTTATGCAATTCCCTCGTGACATGCACATTACACCTAAATTCTAGCTAAGCGAGCACTTCGTGGCAAGTAGACGCTGCACTTGCTTTTAAACCCAACAGCAAGATCCTTAAAAGGACGCCACAACTAAACCAAAACAACACAGAAATTTTATTCAGGTTAAATAATAAAATCACTATACTTTGCCAAGATTTTCACAACCCTATAGGATTCTTTAGGATGCTTTTAAAATTGCCATTAAAGATTTAAACTGTCTTTAAATTTTATTGTCTGGCGCTCCGGATTCTACGACCTCTCAATTTCATCTTTATCGTTTCGCTGAATGTTAACAATAATCGGATACAGCGTTATGAATATTTGATGGGTGTTTTATTCAATATTACATCATTTGCGTACCACGGAATCCGTAATTTTCGAACCACATTGCCAACAGTCGCCATCGTTAATTCCCTAGCGGTAGTAAGTTATAACTTGTCCCGGGTGCGAGCCCTGTTAATGACGCCGTTTTCCTCTTAAATTGCATTTCATTAAGGCCAAGTTAAGCTCTAGGCTTTGGCCGAACACCCTCTTGATTTAGGACGCCTTAGGATATTTCTACATAAACGAAAATATACACCGATTTGTGATAGTACAAACACAAAGAGCGTTAACAATACATTTTCAATTTACCTTTAACATTTTTAATACTGAAAATGATTACCCTGATAGAATCGAACTATAAAGACCTGAATAATTGTGGCTTTATCTAGAGCTATAAACTTTAATCGATATAATAATAAACATACTCTTCATACAACGCAGTATGTACGTATTAAACATGTACGGTAACTTTCTGAAAGCACATGGAATTTTAATGAAAAGGCTACGAAGTATAATGCCCGCATTCTTTATTCATAACTGCTTTTTGAGAGAACTCCACGTGTACGATGTGATTAAAAGATAAAGTTCCTATCATAATCATTACGTACATTTAAATACAACTTTTATAATTTTTTGAAGATGTAATTGTGTATTATTCAAATTTTGAGGATAGCAAAAGCTATTGTTTTCAGGCGAGTTTTATGCGCATATAAACAAAAAGTACCAATCAAGCAGTATTCAAAATGTCGCAACGTCACAAAAGGTTTTAGCTCGTAGTGAATGAATGGATCGAACGAATGGAACGAACCAGACGAGCCGTTATTAAATCACTCGGTATTTTCCGTGCGGCGAGCGCTGCGCCCCTGTGCGCTCGACTCTCATTTGTCGAGAGCCTCCAATGTTTTCATGGCTGAGAGACACTTGATTTGACTTGCTACTTTCAGAATATGTTTAATGTTTGACGTTAAATAAAGTTTTTCTTCAAGATTATTTGATTAATTATTATATAACTATAAAATAATTTAAATGTTAAATTATGTTGCTATTCCCACAACCTTAATTTGGATGAAGGAAATAAGTAAGCAAGAGGGCGTTTTTAAATAAAAAATAGTATTTTAAATCTGAATAGGCTTATTTAAAGTGCACTACAGCTTCGTGCGTCAATAATATAAAGTCAGCATCAAATAAGAGAAAATATTAAGGAAACTTAATGTACAATATTAACCAAGTAAACCTTTGGTACAGCGGAGAAATATAAGGCAGAACGAGAATTTCACGAAATTCGCTGAATAAACACTTCGTTGTCGGTAATAAGACCAGCTATTTAAACTGAAATGCGTAACATATTGTGCGCTGAAACGTAGGAGAAAGCCGGATTTTAACAGAACAAAGAATATATCGAGAACATTTTTAATTTACTTGACAATAGAAAATTACATTTTAAAACTTTATAATCCTAAAGTAGTGAACCACAAAAAAAACAGTGAAAAATTACATTAAAAATGTGCCTCCGAGAGTCGCTGAAAAAAATAATTAGATGAACAAAAATTGTGGCCGAAAAGACAATTAAAACAGGTAATCTTACTCTTGTTTGTGACGAGAAAGAAAAGAAAAATGCCCCCACCGGACGTGGACGATAAACAAGATTAAAATTTCTCGTAGCTAGTGGGCGGCCACCGCGTATAAATCTGTGCTGCCGCAAGTTGAAACGCTAGTTTATTATAAACAACGCTCCCTAGCTGAATACTAATACTGCAGGATTTAAATTTACAGCCCAAGTGCGTGCTTTATGGAAACCTTGACTTTATGAATATTAAATGAGGTTGTGAAATTTTATATCAAAGGTAAATATGCCAGAGGTGGAAAAATTCAACAAAAAAGTTAATTCACAGACATTATTTTATGTTACCTAATAATCAGATTTTAAAATGAAAAAGTGTTGACCCATTAATCAAATATAACGTAGTTTATAATCCACAAACTTGTTAAGTTTGCATCGAAAAAGAGTGCTTCAATAAATCGTTTAATATCAATAAGGAAACTCAAATATGTTTAAAGTTGCAACAAAACTAGTTTACAGAAGGAAAAGTTACACGCAAAGTTGAACTCATTGTGATACAACCAACAAAGTATGTTCAATCAGTTCTATTTGGTTAGATTTACAGTTAACCAACTATTTGGTAATATTCGCAGTTCAATACAATCGATGCACTTTTCAAATTCAGATACAAGAATAAAATACTTTGACGAATAACGGTAACAATGTTCTAATTGGAACATGAAATTGTGCAACTAATTATCCATAATATTTCACAATCCGTAATCTCCTCATCTTCTCGAATCGTTTACTTTGATGTGCGATTAAACAGAGGCATCCGAGTGTTGCAATTATTTGCAGATTATTTCTTTACATTACGGTACATCTGTGTAAATGTACACCATTTCACATGTAAAGTAATATGTTATACTTAATAGAAATTATGTGTTATTGTATTTTTTTTACTCTTAACAAATATGTTTAAAACATATTTTATCTTTGCAAAGGAATGTGAACATTTCATACGTAGCAATTTGCCAAGACTTTGCCATTTCACAAAGATGCGGGGTTAGCGATTTGCAAGTGACATATACAAATAAGTAAATATTAAGATTATTACAACCGCATATTGCGACTTGCAGTGGCTGTAAAATAAACCACTACGTACGCCGTCAGCTGCAACAACGTCAAAATGGCGTAGACTCAAAGCATTCAATTTGCGAAGCAATTTCCTGACAGAAACGCCTCTAGGCTACATGACGAAGTATTATGAAAGACAGGACGCTAGATATCTTGAGGCCATTTGATTGCTGAAGGATAATTAAACAAATATAGGAATTAACTAAAAAAGTAAGTTAATTGTTATAAGTTATTAAAAGATAAGTAAAATATGCTATGTCAACAAAAAAAAAAAAACTTGCTTTCTAATAAAAACTAACGAAAAAAACAACTAAAGAAACAACAGAATAGCTGTATATTTTCGCCCCCTGCTAGTCAAGAGGTGGAAACAAAGGGTTAGATTGTTATAGTCGCTGCGGCCTTGACTCTTTTCTATTTTCGTTGAATGCGAACGTCGAAAAGAAATATGAATAGTGGCAAAGCACTTAAAATATAGCTGTTGGCATATCTTATAGGGTAGAGGATATATTTATGTAAAACTAAGTTAACATACATGAATTGAATAACAAATTGGTATTTATTTCAAAAGTAATAAAAACCACGTGTTTCGGATCCCTCGCACCAATCTAACAAAAAACTATAACTATATATGCTATGTTTAATTAACCTTACCTGTCTGTCCGTATGCAAATATACAGGCGTTGTAACCGTCGAATGCATTGTCTAGGATGTCCCGGCCGAGACATTCAAACACCGTCTTCTGCGACGCGAAGTTGGGCAGCGCCGAATCGAGGGAGTAGAAACAGTGGTCGAACGCGAACGTCTTTGGTTGTTTTCTGTAACAAAAAATAAGATACTTTAATCGATAATTGGAAGTCACATTTGTAAAGAGCTCATTGAGTGACCTATTAATAAATCGAGAGCTTTGCGTAATTTATTTAAAAAAAAACCAACAACATACACATCTCCTAGAACAAAGTTTTTTGTCGTTTATATAATTTATAACCTTGATACAAAAGACTATATGAGGTCTATATTATTACTAAGAATAGAATAAATTACCTTAATAAAAACTTTAATACTCTATTTAAGATTTGACGTTTTAACTTGGATTTAATGTAGACACGTCAATAGTTATATCTGAGTGGGAGCGGCAACGGCGAAGATAAATGGGGCGTTAGGAAAATTAAAGCGCACACGAAGCGAACTCGACTCGATCAAACTACGCTAATGACGGTAACTTTTAATTAATTTCGCTTACTAGACAAATTCCGACGTAAAACATTGTTCAAGGGCTGGATATTAAAAATACCAGTGCTCTAATGAATAAATTTGTAGGGCGTAAAATTTATTATCAACAGGGTGATTTAGGTTATTAATAAGAAAGTACAACGTATAGTTCATAACATACATTCATCTATACATACGAAGTAAACAAATTTCCAATTTGTAAGTAAAAGTTTTCAATCCATTAGGATTAAAACACACCCTTTGTCTTTGCATATTATAAATTAATGCCTTAGGTAGCCAGATGCGGCATAATGTGGGATTAAGTTTGCGCACCGGCTGCACGGGGAACGCTTAGCCGACGGCGATACCTGCAAATTTATGTGCAACATGCAAGCAAAATTTTCCTCTTAAAAACTACACTAGCACACTTAAACTCGTTAAGTGGTCAAGACCCTTTGAGTCAGTTTTCAAAATAAATCTATTCTAGAAGACCACTTTACAAAGTATATAAGTCACATATGAATACAACATTACTAGAAATATGTGTGTAAAAGAACATTACCCTGGTTACTTTATAGTGTTAGTTGTTAATCATCGAGTATCTTAATTTTTTGTCCCACTTAGCACATCACAAACATCTTTTGTTCTAAATAAAATCTTTAGTTCCAAATAAAAACAAAGGTTTTTACCTTTTGCTACATTTGTACTAAACACTGCTGTAAACGCCTATTAGATAAGAATTTCTTTGTAAGGGGATTCTAAAGGTTCGTTATCTGATTGTAACACATTTAAGGATATCTTGCGCAATCCGCAAGAATACGGTCTTTCGTCCCACTTTAGTTTCTTTATCAAGATTACTATAACAATAAAACCCTTATGTATCATGGAAATTCTGCTCTAAAATAACCGACCATTATGAAAAAACTATGCAATTTTGCAATTATGAGAAATTCATAATTAACAATAGAAATAAAAGAAGTGCAATATGAATTCTTAATAGTTTTCTTTGATAGAAATAAAAAAAAATCTGGCACGTAAAAGTAACCGTACAGCTCATGAATAGCACCCAATTTTTTTTTATCGAAAACGCGGAGTGGTCTTTTGTTTTCAGAGCACCGGTTGTGGACTTTTTATCTATAGTCGACAAATACGGACTCGACCCGCCACAGAAAAGAAAAGCTCAATCCGGTGTCTAAATCAATTTCATCATTCTAAAAATATGGATAAACGGTCGAATTCTAAAACGAATCTTTCACTCTTCTTCACGAGCACCACTTATAATCTGCCAGAATTTGGAGTTTAATTTACATATTTAAATGTCGTTCCAATATTTGGCCATAAATTAATAAATTAAAAATCAAGGGCTAATTTTAACTAAGAGGACAAAAGATCAATGTGTTGAAAAGCCTGAAGATCAAACGGAAAACAAAAAGCACGTTCAATTGTTTCTTTTTACAAAAAACTTCGCTCGAATGTGGATATCGCATGAAATCAGATCGTGCAGCAGACTGGAATGAAAACGATACACTGCGCCAATGTCGCAGTCCGCTCACGATATTTTACCGATGAGACTCGGAAAGTGTATCTGAAACGATACTCGTCCCGTACTATGGAACTTGTTTGTCTTTTTTGTTCCAGTTTTGTTGTTCTTGTACTTTATTTACTACTTCAATACTCAATTACTTTGTTTGAGAATAATGAAGACAAAAGTTTTGGGTCTCGGGGCTTTTAATTAAAAGTTAAGCGAGAAATATGCCCCATTTGTTCATTGAAAACAACTAAGTAAATCCTTGGACTATTTCCCTTTTAATATAATACAGTTTTTCGAAGTACATTGAACTAAATATACACATTTACAATGTAGAAACATAAATTTCAATTACTTTTTCCTAAGACTTGAAAATCTGCCGTGCATGTTTAGGCGAAAACTCCTTGTTTTTAAATAAAGACAAATACTTGTAGTTTATCTCGTGGAGGATGTGCTGACACGTTATATAATTATTTATGTATTTTTGTCAACATGTGAGAAAGAAACATGAGCCATATTCGTTGAAAGCTGGCAGCGCACAGCATAAATCAAAATTTCAATTTGCCCGCTGACATCCAGCTATCGCGGTGTTACGTTACCCCCAATACTATACCGGCTTATATTTATTTTCATAGTTATTTGAAAACGAGAGATATTCCTGGATATTCTAAGAAAAGGCGATATTTCTTATTAAATTTGGTTATTATTGAACTAATCATAAAATGTGCACACACGAAAAGTTGTTTTATTTAAAGAGTTTTGTTATAAACAATACTTATGCGATCTAAACATTGAAAATGTGTTCAAACGTGAAACAATACTTTCAACTTGAACAATTTACATAAGAAATTCAGGACACAGTCTAAAATAGGCCGTTAGTTTCAGTATTAATCTCCCCAAATTGCTACCTGTGATTACAGCACATGAAATGGTAATTCAATTTCACAGTGGGGTAGTAATGTTAGACCCTTTAGTATTAAATTAGTCACGCGTAAAGAGATTGCTCGGGTCGCATACAATGATTACTTCAGTTTCCTAAACGATTATGATAACGCCGTTTCGGAAGCAATTATTTTAAACAAGAAATTAAGTCAGGGTTAGAAGAGTTAGCGTGACCAGGTCTTAAGGACTGTCAAACCTTGATATAAAACCTTGGCAACGTTAAACGTTGAACCGTTTTCAATGTCTTTGAACTTCAAGGTTTTCAAAATGCGTGTGAATATAATGTTACAGATCCATCATTAAAAAGTGATATACGTGCTTATGATAATGGATACTTTTCTTTTGTTTTATTAATCACATCTAAGAATTCTGAAATGTTCTTTATTTCAATATAGTCCTTACGTTCTGCTTCTTTAATAGTTTACGTCACAAGTAGCAAAAAACTGAATATTTCTCACAACATACAAGGAAGCTATTGGGACGTGTGACTGCACGTTATATGTACATAACACCGTAATCGTAGCGCGACGTGGCATGTACGTACGGTGCGGCGACAGAGCGCCGGCGTCCCCAGCCGAGGCAGACGGCTGGCCGCTCGCCAGATACGTAGGGGCCGTCGCTCCCGCCTGTCCATCCTCAATGGACCGCCAATCGATCTTCATTATTACACTCGCTAGAAAGCATTATTCAATTTAACTTCCGAAAAATCTTATCTCGTGAAAGTAGTTTTTCATGTACTCGAAAAGATACTCTTTACAATTTCCCACAAAAGCTTTTTAATGAAAACGGTGCGGAACTTTTTAGATAATAAATGATGTGTATACATTCCGTATGTGATTTTTTAGATGAATTGCAAAATCTTTCGCAGGGGATGAAGTGAGTGGCTCGCAGCCAAATGCACCGACCTAGCTTTAGGGTAGCGAACTCGTCCATCAATTGGTAAGATTAATGGACATACTGTAAAAGATATTTCAGAATACTTATCACCAAAAGAAACCTACCTTATAAAAAGTTACAATGTAATGAAACGATTACGATACGAAATAATATACAGAAATACAAAACTTGTCCAATACTGATATTTAAAGTTTAAATAACTTAAATGAAAATGATGTTTAGGTTTTAGGTGTATTCAGTATTGGGCAAGTCGTTTATTTTTGCTTATTATTTTGTGTATGCAACACCTAACACCCAAATCTTACTCAAGTTTCATTAAAATGTTTATTTTAACTTTGAAAACGTATTTCATATAATTTTCCAATTAGAGACTTGTCTCTTGATAATATTTTAGGACATAGTTTCAACATTTTCTACTTTCATATTTAAAAAGGAAAGTTCAAAGGTTCCGTGCGGTTTCTTTAATTAAAATTATATAAAAGGAATGCTGAACGTAAAGTATAGCAGTACTAGGACTTTTTTACAGCTGAGCTTATCTTATATTAAATCGTATATTATGTCAATTTATGTAACCAACATTTCTTCGAACAAAGTAATTTATACATATCCTACCCAACGTAGAATATGATTGCATTTCCTACCGATCTTCCAATAATGGGATACAAATAACTATTGCTGTTTTTTTTTATTAGATAGATGACAATGCATAACAAAAATACTATCAATAAAATAGGACTCTTAGAGCATGTCCCACCACTGGCTGATAGAGCTTCAGATAGCTTAAAAATGACGTCACTATCAGATAAGGAACCGAAATCCGATATTTCGATAACATATTTTACACGTTGGATTGTTATCAATTTACAATTTGGTGGGACAGGTCCTTACTAATATTAATAAAATATTACATTTTAATATAACAGGTCTCTATAGCCACAAAAACTGTCGTAACAGAGGACGTTAATAAACTCTATTTATTTCTATTTGAAACGAAGGGACGGGAATCCTCGGCTGAGTTCATTTTCTTTTTAGTCTGTCGCAAAGGAAATGACATTAATAGAATTATTTCTACGAACAAATTATACAGTTTAATTAATTACAAACTGAATGATGAACGTCTGACAAAAAAATATTAAAGTAACATTTCGTATTTGCTTTACAAAGTGGTAACAACATTAAAATTCAAACATATTCTGTGAAAAATCGTTGCTACAACATATGTTCAAGAGTTTCGGATAT